CTGCATTGAATCATACTTGTTATTAATCTCTGTCTCTCTTCCACAGCATGTCTTTATCCTGTCTTCCTTCTCTCACCCCAACCAATCACAGCAGATGGCCCCGCCCCTCCCTGAGCCTGGTTCTGCTGCAGGTTTCTTCCTGTTAAAAGGGAGTTTTTCCTTCCCACTGTCACCAAAGTGCTTGCTCATAGGGGCTCATATGATTGTTGGGTTTTTTCCTGTATGTATTATTGTAGCGTCTACTATACAATATAAAGCACATTGAGGCGACTGTTGTTGTGATTTGGTGCTGTATAAATAAAATCGAATTGAAATTGAATTGAATCGATGCAAATGCAGATCATTAGCAACACAATTTAAACAAACATGGTGAGATGAATTGGACTGCACCTTTAAATGAGCTGCTCAACTCTCAGCACTGCCTTTTCTGTCTGTGTACTTTGATTCTTTATGTGAAAGGTGAATCATGTCAGTCCCTCGAGGTCATATTCACAAACTGTATGACCACACAAATCTGTGCATAAACAATGCATACGAAGGTTTCACACAGTTATGATTAATCTGTTTTACTTTAACTATTTTTTTTGCAGTTTAATATTAGAGAAAATATATATATAAACAAATATGACAATTACTTGGAGAGTGTCTTCTTCGTGGATGATTACAGTTGTTCTTATGTTTTTAAGAAGCCCCCCAAAAGTTCTCAGTCCATAACCTCATATAAAAAAATCACATAATTAATAAAAGATGGATTTTAATAAAATCACAATCAACATGAGTGTGTGAGCATCTTGTTTATTGTCTTTTTCCTACATAAATCAGAGTCATTCAGCTTTGCTTTTCTAATATTTTCCCTTTGCTATTTCCTACCATTTGAGAACCATTACATAAATGCTGTCTCATCCCAGCTCATTCCTAGCAGGATGAGTCAGTGTATTTCCTATTTTAAAATGACCTTTCTAAACTAACTGGCATTCTATTTCCATCTGCTTCTTTGTATTCACACTGCCTCACTGTGGCCTTCTTAGTTGGACCTTCATGCGGTAAGGTTTGGGAGTCATTGTGATCCCAAAGACTGGAGTGAAGTCTGGTTCTCCTGCATCCTCGGGCCAGATGAATTTAAACTTCCTCAGCAGAGTCACCATGATGAGAAAGAGCTCCATGCGAGCCAGACCCTCTCCGAGACACACCCGAGGACCTGAGGCATTGAAAAAGACCTCAGAATTATCAAAACAAAAACTGTTTTAACTGGCCCTGTCTGTCCCCGTCAGTGTGCTCATGTACCTGCAGAGAAAGGCATGAAGGCCTCTGGTTTAACAAACTCTCCTTTGTCATCAAGGAAGTTTTCAGGGTTGAATTCATGAGGGAATTTCCACTGTCCCTCCTCGTTGAGCACTGAGGTCAGATTCTCAATGATCATTGTTCCCTGAGGGGAAAATGAATACAAAGAAAAAATGTCCACCAAGGATGCTCTTTATTGCCTCAGTTGTTTCGTTAGCTTCATAGCATAAGTGCCTAAGTCATTTTTTTGTGTTTTGTGTTTCAGACGGACAGGATGATGCAGCAGTGGTAGGGGAGTAAAGTTAGGCAAAAATCTCAATTTGACCAAAAAATGACTTAGGCACTTATGCTATGAAGCTAACGATATTTAAAGAGCTGTACCTTACCTTGGGAATGGAATATCCCATGAGCTCTGTGTCTGTAGTTGTGCGGTGGAAGACACTGAGAGGAACAGTGTTGGCAACTCTCTGCACTTCATGAATCACAGCCTGGACCAACAGAAGAGATTGTCTGTGCTTATTCGACTCTGGGAAGACTTCAGGTGCTCAGACAAAAAATACATACGAATAGATCAGGTCGGTCATCTGAGATGATTACACACTGTCAGGTTTTTGATTATCATCAGCATCATCAGGAAGTGATGGAATGGCAAAACGTAGAGTTTCAAACTTCTGTGAGCAAGACTTTCTGCTCCTTTTTCACTTTTATACAAAAAAACCTTTAAAAAGCTTTTAGCCAGTTTTAGACATTATTGGAGTGGAGGGCTTGTCTCCCAAGCAACTGGCAGAATGCTGTAGTGGTGAGATAAGAGAGATTTTATTTTATTCTATTCTGTACAGTTGTGTACTGTATTTATTCTTATTGTATTCTAATTTTTGCCTCATAACTTTTGCACTGTCCACTTCCTGCTGTGACAAAACTAATTTCCCACGTGTGGGACTAATAAAGGTTATCTTATCTTATAAGTCATGTAGCCTCAGTGAACAGTCAGGCAGTCTCCCCTGTATTATCACATGCCTTGTGGTAAATGGACAGATTCTTATAGAGCGCTTTTCTACTCTCCTGGAGTACTCAAAGCGCTCTATACAACATGCCTCATTCACCCACTCATAAAAGCACTTCTAAACTCAAGTGCAACCTAAACTACATTCATACACATTCATACTCCGATGAACGCATCGGAGGGCAACTCGGGGTTAGTATCTTGCCCAAGGATATTTGGCACGCAGACAGGAGCAGCCTGGGATCGAACCACCAACCTTCCGATCAGTAGCTGATCTGCTCTACCACCTGAGCCACAGTTGTGGTGCAACTACTTATTAGTAGTAATAAATGTTTTGGGGCAGTGCACACTTACTCCTGTTAGTTCATGTTCCCTGAGCAGTGGCAGGTGTATTACATTACACGCCCTGTTGGGTACAACACAGAGCCTCTTCAAACACAGAAGTGTTTTCCTCAGCCAACTGTTTCCTCAGTTGGCTGTAGCTCAGGCGGTAGAGCAGGTCATCTACTGATCGCAAGGTTAGTGGTTCGATTCCTCGCTTCTCCTAGTCTGCATGCCAAATATCCTTGGGCAAGATACTAACCCCAAATTGCTCTCCGATGCATCCGTCGAAGTATGAATTTGTGTGTGAATGTTAGTTAGAAAGCACTAAGAAAATGTGCTTGTGCGAATGCGATCGTGGCTCAAGAGTTGGGAGTTCGTCTTGTAATCGGAAGGTTGCCGGTTCGAGCCCCGGCTTGGACAGTCTCGGTCGTTGTGTCCTTGGGCAAGACACTTCACCCGTTGCCTACTGGTGGTGGTCAGAGGGCCCGGTGGCGCCAGTGTCCGGCAGCCTCGCCTCTGTCAGTGCGCCCCAGGGTGGCTGTGGCTACAATGTAGCTTGGCATCACCAGTGTGTGAATGGGTGGATGACTGGATATGTAAAGCGCTTTGGGGTCCTTAGGGACTAGTAAGGCACTATATAAATACAGGCCATTTTTGTGTAAAGCGCACAGAAACAGCTTTGGTGAAGGTTACAAATGATTTTCTTATGGCCTCTGACAGTGGTTGTCCTGCTAGATCTCAGTATAGTGGTCAAAAGGTTTGACCATAATGTATTATTACTGAGAGCTGAACGTGCTGTAGGTATTAAAGCTACTGTGCTGCAGTGGATTGAATCATATGCAATAAAGGTTAATTATGCAGTTTCAAAGGATTTTGTGCTGGGACCAGATCTGTTTATATTATACACGCTACCCTTAGGCAGTATCAGTCAAAGGCACAGCATACATTGTTATTGCTATGCAGATGATACCCAACCTTATCTGTCCATGAAGCCAGATGGCACACACCAATTAGTTAAACTGCTCTAAAATTAGCAACATCCCATTTAAGCATGACGCTGAAAAACTAGTTCATGCATCATCAGGGGGTCCTTTTGTCCCTCTGTGGGGGGAAACTCCCACTAGGTTTATATCTGGGACTCTTCACCATTTGACCTCAGAACTGAAGAAGCTTCTCGGATGAGAGGTGAAACGTCTTCAAGCAACTTAAAGAAGTCCAGACGCTTTTCTTTGCAGCTCCTTTGACTACAATGACCTGGATGACTGAGAACCTTCACAGACATATAGTTCATGCATTTATTACTTCTGGGTTAATAATTTTAATTCTTTATCATCGGGCTGTCCTGAAAACTCCCTAATAACCAGTTAATCCAAAATACTGCAGCTAGAGTACTGACAGGGACTAGAAAGCATAGCATATGTACCCCATATTGACTTCTCTTCATTGGCTCCCTGTTAAATCCAGAATTCGTATTTAAAATCCTTCCACTCACATAAAAGGTCTTATGATAAAGACCTCATAGTACCATATCACCCCAATAAAGGACTTCTGTCTATTGGAGTTTCCACCTCCTGTTCTTCATCTGTTCTTATTATTGTGGACCCTAAGCATTTTTTGTGTCCCTTTTATATTAATATTGTTTATTTCTTAGCCTTTTTGTAATTGAATGGATTATACCTCACTCTTCCATAAGGTCCCTTGAATTTTTACAGCTGCCAGCAGTTGTGTCGGCTTTTGAATTAAACACACCATTGAACAACACCTGCTAAACAGAGGGACCTCCAAAGGTTGATTCTGTTCATCTGGACGTAGTTCAACTGAAAATGCTAGATGATTGAGCATGCATCAAGACGTAAACCGAGGGACATTTATAAGTAGAACTGCCTGATGTACAGCACCTGGGTGTAAGGCATCTCGTTCCTGTCTTCAAAACTGGCCCGATACTTCCCTTCCAGTACTTGGTCTATCTCTTGCTGACATCTGTCTGTGCAGACAAAATAAAATAACACAATTCACATGACGGCTTATATAACATGTTGAGACTATCACACTAGGAGAGTTGTTTCCAGCCAACGCATTGTTGCGACTACATTCTTGAAAAAGGAACTGGTTTGATGTTGTCAGTAAAGGAGCATGTCGTGTTGAGAGTGAAGTTATTTTATATGCGTGCAGTGGGGAAAACATATGAAACCTTCTGTATTAATTCACTTCATCTTGTCAAACAATACCAGTCATTAAATACAAAATCCACAGTTGATCTAATAATTTCACCTCCTCACTACGTACGACTCTGGATACT